AAAATAGTAGATGTCTGCCCTGAATCTCAATAATGAAGCTGATTGTTATGAACTCTAGAGACTTGAGATCGCGATAGCTCTACAAAACGTTTGTCTTAAGTCTTAGCAGCAGATGTTATTCTGTGTGGCATATCTATGAATCATTTACTAAGTGTCTAGGGACAAGTTGATTATTGCGAGTAGTATTAATTACAGGTTGTTCATAGTAGGTTTCAACGTTTAATCGTAGCAATCTGTTCCAAGAGTACAACAAATACTGAGAAGATTAATAATAAAATCAGTGAATAATGAGTGGTAAAAAGTTCATCATTGAATGAGAGACTGGATATCAAGACTCTATCAGAAAACTTTTAACAACATCTGTTAGCAGTTGGCAACTATATTTTAACAATTTTCAGTTAGTAAGGTCTCAGTTGAAACGATTTTATAACAGTAATTTGTTCAAGACAAATCAGTCATAACTCAACGCTCACAACATGACAGACAAGTATTATTGTCATGACATACAGTCTCAATTGAGTTGAAATAGATGAATTCGAGACCAAAGTGTTTGAAAATATAGAAGAGTATAAAAAAATAATGAGGGAACGTTGAAGTTGGGAATTAAAGATTCAACACGAGTTCATAGAGTATGTGTTTTACATTCATGGATCAAACGGGAGGTTTCACGACACAGTCTTTTCCATTGACATCGTTCAAAGAATAAGAGAAGTGATCAACGCTCAATTAGTCTAAACCAAAGTGATACCCCTTCGAATCCTCATTACAAATCATTTGAGTAGTCAATTTCAGTCTATAACAAACATTTTTACATTTGACTGTTTCACCAACTGCAGACATCGATCGACTCTCTTGCATTCAATACTACCATTGGTATTAGTTCAGACAAGTAACCATTGGCAAAACTTGAAAGACCTTTGAATATCCTCTCATGAGCTCGGTCTGTTTTTTTTTGGCAATTTCAGAGTGAACTATCTATCCTATACCTCTGCAATAGAGACTAGCAATCAATATTAATCACCACACAATCTTTATTAATCTGTTATCAGATCACATCAGTGAACCGGTTCCCTCATCAGAAATATACAGTTAGTGAAATTTCCATCATTAATTTTCTCACCGTTTCAAATCTCAGTCAGTTGACTCAATTTCAGTAATATCCTCGACACATGAGTGTTATCACTTCCTTGTCAGTCAACCAGTCAGTATTGACGGATCTGAACAGGATTGCCGTGAAAAATGTTTTTCGGTATCAGTATATCAGTGCAATAACTTTCAGATAAGGAGATTTATCAATCTTTGTGGTCCTCACTGAGTTTGCAGAGGAAACTATCCAAGATCCGAGAATCTATATGAAGAAGGGGAACGAAACTCATGAACATTTTGACTCAGTTGAGTTACGACAACTTGGTACGTTGAGGGGGAAACAAAGATGATTTATAGCTTTGGTCCTAAGTTATACTCTGACTATCATAGGCCTCCGGACCCTTTCTGTCTCATTGATGGTTCTTACTCAGTGATCTGGTTCACTTGGCCAAGAGGTATGCTTCACCAACTGAGATTGACTATGAGGCAGTGACCGAACCTTCATAGTTTCGACATTTTAGGTGATGGATCTTATCTAGACCATATATTCCTACTCTGTGGGAGTGTTCTGTGTTATGCCCGATTTCCAAATCTTTGGACTTGGATAAACGTATTCGAAGATTATAGGTTTTAGATGACTCTATATCACTAGGCCACAATCTCAAGAGGTACATAGACGTAGCTCAAGGTATAAGAGACGTGCGATTAATTGAGAGATTGAGGATGAGACCTCAGAGGGAGAGTGAGGACTCTTGATGAGTGTTGGCCATGTTTTTCCATCTGTTATGAAGACTATTCGCAAGTGCTGACCATGCCTTTCTGTCTGTATTTTTTGAGATTATTATGAGTTTCCACCTTCTCTCATTCGTCTTGTCTTTGCCTTGAGTGAAGTCGGTCTTCATCTTGTTTTATTGATATTGTTTGACGTTATGCTCTCTGCTGATCTTATCACAGTTCTCAATTCAAATTTGACAATTCTAATGTGATATATATTTTATTTTAATTCATTAACTGCATAATTGCATTTGCTCTTCTGAATCATAATCAAAGATTCCTAAGACGGGGGACCGACATAGACTGCAATTGAAGGGTCTCGGTCGAGGCTGGACGCACACAACAAGAAGGGATTTGCATTATTTATTAATTATTTATGACAAAAGCTCAATACAATCCAACGTGACAACTCGTTGTATTTCTGGTACCCCGAAGTGGCCTAAATAGAAAAAGTGCGACAACGTGACCTCCATTTACAACGTCGATCTCCGCTGATCCACTCTGGAGGCTGTGCTGCGTTTCTCGGGTGCCGGGGTCTCGACACATATGAGGGAGACTATAGATCGAGAGGGTGGTGTTTTCCTATTCTACAAGATTGCAAGACCAGTCAGGGGTTGATTCTTCTGTGCGACCAATTTTTGCCTCGTGTGCTTGTCACACACACACACACACACACACACATACAGAGAGAGAGAGAGAGAGAGAGAGAGAGAGAGAGAGAGAGAGAGAGAGAGAGAGAGAGAGAGAGAGNAGAGAGAGAGAGAGAGAGAGAGAGAGAGAGAGAGAGAGAGAGAGAGAGAGAGAGAGAGAGAGAGAGAGAGAGAGAGAGAGAGAAAAAAAAAAATCAGACGCTGAAGATGCATCGATTGACCTGCGCAGAGTGGGTTCAATTTCGACTTGGTTCAACTTTCTACACAGATGTGGGCACACGTGTCGTTTCGACCACTACTGCTGCCGCCCCCACCTTTCCGCTGTTTTTCCACATTTCCATGAACGATCCATGTGATAGAGGTTGTCCCTGCTAGTAAGGTGCCTAGAGGACGAATCTATAAGATGTCTTCTGCGGAGTTGGATGAGCTCCGCCGCCAACTCAAGGAACTCACAAAAAGGGATGGATTCGGCCTAGTACCTCCCCTTGCTATGAAGTTCTATCAGCATGTGGGTAGGAACCCCGAAAAGACTAAGGGGCGCTTAGGGCCGTGCCAAATAGCTGTCCTACGTGGTCCCGCCCCTTGCAAGGCCCCAAAACTCAAAATGCCTGCTCTCCCGAACTACCACCGACCATCGACGTTGAAATTTTGAATGAACGTTGAAGGTTTCAGGGGGACAAAACGTGGTTAGAGCACCGGTTGGAAATACGCATTGTGGTATGAGGTTGCGGGTTCATAACTCAATTGCAACCTTGCGCATGGACACCGGCAGGGCGTTAGATTAACATACGGTTGGACACACTCCCTTGGGCTGATGCATGGTACTATTACAGGCGCTGTCTGCGAACCACCCAAGGGTTGTTCATGGTTTTGTATGTTGGTTTCGGGTTTCACATGGGTTGCTTGGGGGTGTTGGTCTTGGGTGTTCTGTTGATCTCCCCAGTCTGGCATATCACACGTTCGTGCCATTTCCACTAGCCGTTCACATGGTTGAGTCATACGATTACATGTTTCAAGGTCACGGGTTCGAGCTTGGCTCGGATCTTGGGGGGTCCTTGTCCAGCTTACCCCGTTCTCTCTTCGAGATACACACATGATGCTGCCTATACATCTCGATACATTGATTCACAGAGCACACGCAGCCTTCGGGCATATACATAGCTTGCGAATTATACATGGCCTACGGGCTACATACACAAGTTTCTGCTCATAGTGCTGTTTGTACATCTTCATACATAGATACACGAAGCATACACAGCCTTCGGGTATACACATACATTTCAAACCACATAACTATTAGACTGGGGGTCTAGTCACTGGGTGGGGTCTAGTATCCGCGGTAGGGACAGGTATGGGCCACTGGAGTTCCTACTGATATTCGGGTAGAACTGTGAAGTGGCTATATATAAGGCTTAGACCCTGGGTTAAGGGTAGGGGTATAAGTCGCTCAGGCCAGTCCGAGTTCCGCCTGGCCTTGGGTAAGCTAGGGGAAGGACGGTAAGACTGCTTCAATGGATGCTACCCTGTCTGAAACCTAGGGCCCAGAGTCTCTTGGGGCCTGTAGTAGATGGTCTGGGCCTGGCGTCCGAAGTTCCCGTTCGACAAGGCTCGTCCGATTTCGCTTCCACCAGGGCTGGGCAACCTATCAGCCCTGGTGCCTATCACTGCTGTTCGGTCCAAGTTACCTGCCCATTGATAGGGTAATGGTCCTGAGTGCTGGTCACGCTGAGGTAGGATAGTGGGATAGGGGGTGCGCTAGGAGTATTGACGTGAGGATGGGATGGGAGGTGGTCTCATATTCCAGGATACCCACGGCCTACTGCTCCAGAGGTGATCACTGGATACACAGTGACTGGCCAAAAAAAAACAAACAAAAGGGGGACAAAACGCACCCCTGACGGGCTGCGAACTGGCCGGGACCCGGTTGGAGACAATCTCCAGCCTTTCTTCTTGTAATCGCCACCGCATTCCCAGAATGCGGGAAAACAGAACATGCTTTTCAAGGCCTCGCCGTTCACCCTCCTGGTCTATCATTGTCCCAGAAGTCTGAATCACCAAGCACCTCATCTGTGCCGTGAGTGTGTCCAGAATCTGCGCCGTGAGTGTGTTCAGACGGGTCGCCAAAGTGGGTCAACCTCAGCGGAAGGGCGGGCCTTCCGGCCCCTTTCCGGAAGAGAAGGGTCTCAAAATGAAGAGCGGGCGTTCGTCATGATGATCTTGAGTTGGGACAGTTGCATTGTGGGTCAACCTCAGCGTTGCAACTAAAATGCTAGGCAAGGTCATGTGCCGCACAACAATTCTGCAGAGCACGTCGCCTCAGACGGAAGGAGAAAGGAATAATGTGGCCCGGACCACAACATGGTTCACTGTCTCTTCCCTTCCGTATAAATGCATGTGCAACCCCGGTCAGCCTCTCCGTCTTTCTGTCTGCTTGATCACGATGAGCGGTGAAAGATCTGCGCGGCGGGTGGCCTCTGTGCGCAGGCGTGCGGGCGCGGTTTCTCTGTCGTCCCATTGTACGATTTCCATCAGGGACTTCCCTGGTTGATCACGCAATGAACGACTTCTGACCATCGATGCACTTCTCTTTCTTTGAACACAACTCTCTCTCTCATCTCTCTCTCTCTCTCTCTCTCTCTCTCTCTCTCTCTCTCTCTCTCTCTCTCTCTCTCTCTCTCTCTCTCTCTCTCTCTCTCT